GAAGCGGCACTATCCTAGAAAATAATATTTTTTTTGAGCTGTACAATTAGTTTCCAAACAATCCATAAATACAGATATTTTTACGGAGATGGAAAACTAAATGCTGAAAGTGTTTCATTTTAATGGCCTAAAATTATATTCATATGTATTCAGGGGAAAGGTTTTTAAAATGACAGGCTCTATTTCTTGGACAGCTTAACAACATTTACTGCAATTCAGCTCTTGTACATGAGGTGGGTATAAAATTTTCCATCCGAATCCCTATTTGCCAAAGGAATTAGATGTTATCTGTCATCAGTGAAGGCCAACAAATACATTTACAGGGTTCCTAGAAAGTTCTGTGAGATTAACAGAATTTGGAAAGGTAAGGTATACCAAATGACTCCACTGAACACTCTCTGAAGAACGCTTTAGGACTTTTTACCATGTTTCTTTTAGCTGTTAAGCACTACACAGTGCACAAGCTCAAGAGGTGTATTTCAGATTTGATCCTTGCTTTGATTCTCAGTTTGGCACATTCAAGTAAAAACATTCATTTTGAGAAACAAAAAATACATGGTAATTAAAGTTTTAAAGTAATTTTAATGCATTATATGTTCATATTCCTTTACCTGAATTAGCAGAAGCACATCATCCTGAATAAATTCCCTAGTTAAAAGTTCTCTTCTATCACATTGCATTTTCTTCTCCCTACCTATTTTTTGCTGAGACTTCAAAACATTTTCTACTTGAAGTATAACACCACAACTTATTTTAATGAATTACAAATTTTGTTTCTTGTGTTTCAGTTACACCGGTGAATTCGTTGTTAAAGGACAAAAGAGTTATAGCATTTAGCATTAGTCATACATATCACAACTGTTTTGTTTTTTTATTTTTTTATTAGAAACTTAACAGCTATTTCAACAAAGTAATTTTTGCTCAGGTTATTAACAGAGCTTAAATGCTGACAATTGTAAATCTCTGGAGTGAGAAGAATGATCAATAGCAACAACCAATAGGAAAAAAATCAAAGACAATCACATTTTTAGTAAACTAGCAGACAAACTTTGAACACATGAAAGCAGTATTTCTGACAAAGCAGCAGAAATTATTCTGGAAAAGTTGAATTATTCCTCAAAGTTTCAGTATAGAATCAAACTAACACTGAAACAGACAAATGCAATTTTGGTAATTTGCACAAATCATCTTCCTTACCTAGTATATATAGTGTATATACACACACATATTTCAATGCTCTCCTTAACTACTGTGTACCCTTGGTATCTCATCCTACGACACCTTTTCTACCACTGGAATACTTTCAAAGCAGCTTTTATGTTTTAACACTGCACTCATGTAAAAGTGAATTAGTCTCCTAATAAAAAGGTATGTTTCCCCTCAAATACCACAGTGGATACAGGTCGCATGCTTACAATTCCACTAGTCTGACTGAAAGATCGTTTTCTTCTTACTAACACTCAGCACTGGCATGGGTAACGGAATCTTTTTTCAAGCAGGCACAGTCCAGCGTAACAACAAAAATAATAACAACACTTAGCATTTCTATCACACTCTTCATAAAACAACACTAATTTTAACCAACCAATTCTCTCCAAGCTCTGTTCTACCTTCTCTAATTTTCTCACATAAACAACATTCCTGTATTGATACACATACTGATTGCTAGATATGCTGACCAGCTAAATGACAAGATGAAGAGACAGTGTAAGATTAAATGAGGAGTAAAGAATGCATGAGAATAGGAAGGCTGACAAAAGCAGAAATGCAAGGGGTGAGTGGGTTTAAACTTGTGTATGTGCATGCATATGTATCATAAGAAAAGTCTCTATAGGGTAGTATAAACAGAAAACAAGGTGAGCAAAAGATAGCTTACAAAACAGAAAAAGTGACTGAAGGTAAACAGAAAGTAATGTACAGTACTGAAGGTGACTGAGGGAGACAGGATAACAGAGAAAGAAAAGAGGGGTAAAAGAGAAGCAGAAAGGAAAGATTGTAATAAAAGCTGCTAAGAAAAAATAAAATACTTCAGAGTAAGAAAAAGGTTTGAAAGGGAAAAAAGTTCAAAGAAAAAGAGAGAAGAACAAAAGAACAAGAACCCTTAGTTACCTTCTCACCCATGGTATTTGTTACAGTGCTGTAATCCATTGTGTGTGGGTCCACACTGGAGAGCAGCACCACACCTTTCTACATGACCTTCCCCACTAGTTCATATGCCCCTTGAGTGCAATTACTGCTACCAGTTACACAGTTCTTATCCAGCACATGGTATCTTCAAGTGTTCTTTAAATACATATATGCATATGTAAAGTCAGCTCCTACAAACTTAACTGTTTAGAAGGCAACTTTTTTCAAGAAGCAATTCCCCGGCAGTTGTCAGCAACCTTTCCTCCACATTTCTGTTTCACTTATTCCATACAGAGTTATCTCTCTGTCCTAGATTTTGTACTTGGATGCAGAAGCAGTTGTTTTGATTTGGCGGTGTCTCAGTATAGCAAAGTCATCCATCTTGTATTAGAAATAGGACTTCCTATCACAAAGAAAAAAAATGATAGAGGAAAAATCGGACAGCACAGGCACATGAAAGTTTAGAAGCTACATTTAATAAGTTAGTGCTTGTTTTGAAAGGATAAGCAAGATTAACGCAAAGCTCAGTTTTCTAGATGTAGCACAATACGTCAGTATTCTTATTTTAATTACACTTGTGATAAGAGCTGATAGCAGCTCTCTGACTTCTCTTACTGTTCTGCTTCTCACCTCCCTCTTCTCACTCCATAGTTTTATTCCTACCTCTACTACTTTCTTCAAGGGTGCCTTACTTTTCCATTACATGGTTTTTTCTTTCTTGTTCTCTTGTTTATCCCCAAGAAGTACTTAAAATATATGATGCCATTTCTGCTACAAGCCAATACGGACACAGCTAAAAATCAAGAACTCTAGTGGAACAGAGGTTAGAACCATCCACACTTACTGGTAAAAAGTCCATGTTGGAAACCTAGTTGTAACCAACTCTGAAACCAAGTAATACAATAAAGCTCTGCCAACACCAGGGAGGTCCCTCGCCCTTTTTCTCTTCTCTCATCTCTAACTGTATTGGAAAAGTCACCATTGCAATGACGAAACTTATAAGGAACATGAAGAATTCCACCCTTGGTGCCTAGTCAATGATTTCACTACCAAACATAAGGTTATTGTTACGCCTTTTCCTTCCCGTGGGGTTAAGTACTCTGCTGATGCAGTGCTGTGAATCTGCACCGAATCTCCAAGAATTACTAATCTTATGGATATTAGAAGACAATGTGTATTCTTGGCTTCAATTTTAACTCCCATTTCTGCTCACAGACCTTACTCAAGAATTACCGTTTAAAGAAACAGTGAGTATATCTTAGGTTTACGCATTAGGTTTTGCATTTCTAACATGGCAAGCCTACATGCTGAAGTTCTCTCTCACAAACCTTGAAGCAGCAGGAGGAGAACAACCCCCAAAACAGAAACGGAATTTTATTGGTACGAAGGGGTTTTGCACTGAGGAAGCTTTCCCCTATAAAAAGAGATGAGGAGGGGTGTAACAGCATAAGGTACCTTTAAGCCTACTATTAAGATGTAGCAGGGGACCTAATTTGTACCATTTAAAAATTACTTCAAAATGTATGCAGGCTGTAGCTTGTACTAGGGCTATTTGTACCGTCAATGCATTTTGCTCACAAATTCACATGATGATACATTTTTTAACTTAAAAAATTCTTCTTCACCTTAACATAAAATGATTGTAAATACAAATGCTACACATACATGCAAACAAACATTCACATACGGAAATATAAACAGAAATGGAATTATCTGGTGCAACAGTTTATGCTATCTCTGTATAGATCATGTCATTCTAAAGTACAACCACAAAGAACATCTTTCCTAAACAATGTATTCCAGTTACAAAATAAAAGTAGTAGTGAATTAAAGGATGCTATCTGGTGGTTTTTTAACTCACCATGGAGCTGGTAAATCACCCACACACAACAATGCACTTTGCAGACATTTGTCATATACTGCAATGCCCATACTAAGGCAACGCATCCCAGGAGTTGGCAGCCATGCTATCAGAAGAATTTGGCTACAGAAACAGCAATGATTCATCATGCATTCTAGAAGCACTGTCGGAACAGCAAAACAACACACTGCTATTCTAATCCTTTAAAGGTAACAAGGGTTTAAAAAAGTAATTATAAATTTGTTTGTAAAATCAAAGCAAGCAAAAACCCCATAGTTCTAATAATGCATTTGGAAATACACCTTTATTCACATTTTTTTTCTTCAGAGAACAAGAAACAGCTATTTAGTAAAAGTGTCAGCTAATTACTTACCTCTCTATGTTGTGATTTAAATGGTCAACAGTATAGAACAAAGGTTTCACAATAGCTAAATCTGGTTTAAAAACAGTTCAATTTAGGTTGTATTCAGTTTTAAAAATCCCCCGTAGTAATTTTTAAAATAACCATCCAAACACATTTTCATTAATTGAAATCTATATTACAAATAGATTATTTTCAAACTCACCCTCTGAATGAAGAGCCAACAGCACAGAGCATTTGTTTCAATGTACGTATCACATCTATTATTGTCCCAATATCCACCATGAAAACTGTTTCTCAGCCACCAGTATCTGAAAATTTGCAAATAGTGGTGCAGGCCCTGTCAAAAGCTCTCAAGTGCTATTGATCTCTCTGATGAAAGCACTCTTCTCTTTATTCCTCAGAATGTTCCAGTTAAATACAAATATAGGGAAATTTGGTCTCCTAAATTACAGACATCTGAAAAGATTATTAATTTCTTTCAATCGTAATTACATAGGGACACTGAAACTTTAACAGTAACACCCTTTTACTATCACCTTGTCGAAGAAGCTAAAGAACATCTCTACAGAGTTTAAGAGGGCGTCATCGGAAAGCATTTTGGATGCTGCCCTTTGTCCCATTACACAAACACGCATCATGAACCCTTACCTTTTGGAAAATGACTTCATCCTGCTTTCTTTTCTTTTTGCCACTTTTTCTGATCCTCTGGTTTGTCTGAATCCATTTTGTGACCTGAAGTTCAAAACCATAGTGCTTTTTTAGGAAGAAGATGCAACCTGCGTGCAGTTATTCAGCATTAGTAAGAAGCCATACACAGACTCAACACATTTTTTTCCATTGCTTCGCTGGAAAGAGGAAGAGCACTTTTCCCATCTAGAATGATATGGTCTTAGGTAATCTGGTTAGTTACTTGTGCATGGTCAAAGTGTGAGGTGGTGTTCTTCATCTTGGAGCTTTCAGTTTGAGGGGTTTTGCACAAAGAATGTGTTTGATGCCATACCAGGTTACCAAATACAAAGTTATCACTGCAGTGTGCAAAAATCCTGGGGAAAATCTCTGCGCTTTATCCCTTACACCTTCTATTTCAAGTATGAAATTTATTTCCAGCCACCCACTCAAATGTTGTTCCAGACTACCAACGCCAAATTTAGATGGTGAGGTTGTTATTATTTAATAGAGTAATAACACTTGGGTTCTTTCCCCCATACAAATATTTTTATTCCTAATACGAAAGCAGGTTTTTTTTTGAAGCAAAAGCGTGGCGGGGTGGGGAGGGGATGTCAGGTGGAAAACCCAAGGAGCACATCTGCGAGGGAAAGAAGCGGGGGGCAACGTACAGCTGCGAAAGGTTTTCTCCTCACCTCGCCGCTCACTTGCTGGACGAGCTGACACTCCTTCCAAGGCTCACCCTCCTCCAGCAAAGGCTACACAGGGAGAAAGCGCACGTTGAGGCGGGCTCGCCCGCGGAGCATCCCCGATGCACTGCTCTGCTCTCCGCTCCGCTCCCCCGGGGGCCCCGGGACGGGACGGGACGCGCTGCAGCAAGCCCGGTCG